CCCTCGCCTGTGAGGTCCGGAGGTAGGTTGGTCGAGGTAGGGTTGTCTCTATTTAGCAGCATGGGAGTGTAAAACTGCTGTAAGCGTGGGATTTGTTTTCTCGGTAGGTCCTGTGAGATTGTGATGGGTTTCGGTCGTGGAGTGCACACCCTGTACAGGATGTCGCCCGCTGGATAGTTGGAACGCCCGAGAGCAAAGTCTTATGAACTACGTACTCCATCTGGAAAGTTTCCACGTGAAACACATAGGCAGATTGTACCAAGTGTATGACGCGCACCTGTTGCGTACTACAAGCGCGCAAGATCGTAGTCGCTTGCGACACTTGAGTTATTGTCGTGCTTGCCGAATGTGAAACGTTTTTTTGCCGGAATGTCATGTCATGTCTGGTTTGGCACAGCAACGCAAGGATGAGGACCAGCTTCTGGTTCATCCTTGTGAAACGTAGCCTGGGCCGACAAAAAAAACGGCAATTGTTGCCTCGTCCCGGCATTGCACGGGGTCAATGGTGTACCGAGAATAGCATGCATTTACATGACTGCACTCCTTCCTCGATGCTTGAGAGTGCAGACACAAACGCGGCCTTCTGCAGGAATGTTGCTGACCGTGTCGAAGCTGGTCACCGAGCTTGCACTTTAGTGTTCGCGAGGTATCCACAACGGCCAGCGCTGCGTAGTTAGGCTTTCCACCTCTCTGCCGACTAATTGTCCTGAAGAAACGCGAGTATTTACCCCCCTATCGTTCGACTCTCAATCGTTGCATTTCCCGACTGTGTCTCTGCATCCCGACGGAGACTGGGGGAGCGCTTTGCTGTCGTCGGACACAGCACAGCTTCACGAATTGTACCTATTCACAAGTCCACGATCCGTCGTCACATTCTCCCGGCCACGTACATGCTCTTGCTTGTCCGTCGCGTACTACGGTACCAATGACGCTCAATAACTACGTCGTCGTTCCTTTTCCTTCTCGTTCTTCGCCTCTCTGCATACGTGCGTCGCGACAAAAAAAAGACGGTCATGACCGCGAGGCAGCTCCTCAGCATCCTCCGACTATCTCAGTCCCTGGCCAGGGTCCGTTTCTTGGAGGGTGTCACCTCCGAAGAGGTGGACGAGGTAAGCCAATCAAATCGTGACACGACGGAGATCGTTATTTCGGAGGTATGATGGCAGCCGGAGAGTTCCAAGAGGGTTGCTCCGAGCGCCCCGCGTTGAGAAGAAACCGCTGCCATGGCCGCTAGTCCCTTCACCACGGCTATGCTAAAAAGAATGGAAGATGGTGTCGCACGGAGCGGAGGGTGAACCAATCGACTGCCGTTTTCTACCTCTCTTTTCTGGGTGGCGCGTGGTCTGTGTTCCCCGGCATGGTCACTCTTACGTGTTCCTTCGTCTCTCGGATATCTTGGCTTTGCAAGCTCATGACCTCTGAAACCGCCTCAGCGTGCAGGAAAACAAATCCGCAATAATGGGTGGTCGTTATTTGTAGAAGTTGGAACATCTATTGCCCAGTAACATACTTCCATGAACCACCCGTTCCTCTCGCACACGACTCTTCTGTCGTCGGCTAGGCCATCCGCCTGACCCACATGTCCAAGGCATCCTTGGAAGACGACGAACCCCGGGACGGGGGAGACTCGCAAGACATGATGTCAAGGATATACACGATCATCAGGGACTACGGTAAGCATGCCTTTCTCGTTTCTTTTTTTGCCTTAGGTGTAGAAGGATGGAGGGGTATTGGTCGACATAGAGGCGTCGGGGGGAGTCAGCCGAAAGGGTAGAAGTAGTTCATTTTTTGCACGGAGCGCCACACCCGCTAAGGATCGATGTCGTTTTGCGTGATTCAGGTGATCCCTGGTGAAATCCTATGTATCGCCAGTATGTTCTGCTCCAGGTTAATCTTGTGTCTGGAGCGATGCAGCACGCATTGCTCAAGCCGAATTCCTGGCGAAACCTTTTGAAACCAGGAGTGAGTGCTGATTCAAATACAGCGTTGAACCGAAAAAACGAAAAAGCGCCATGTCGCCGAGCTCAATCGGTACCGGAACCATCATCAACAGATTTTGTAGTCCCCAGGTATTGAACCATCATCAAACATATTTTGTAGTCCCCAGCTATTATTCCTTGACGGAAGCCTTTTGCCATGCATCCCTCGCCGCTGCCGCGTGACCTCGACGGTAGTTACCGGGCGAGGCGTGTCGCACGTGGGCTATCAAACAGCGGAGGCGATGGTGGTACGCAAGGGTTTCAGCGTGGAGCAGCTGAGGGAGTGCCTGGAGGAGTACGCTGACCTCAACGTTGTGCAGGTCCGCCTTGCCCATGTTGTCAAGTTGACTCGGTCCTTAAGAGGCGTTGCTTTGTTTCTCGAGCTTGTGATTGTGGCTTCCTTCACGTTGCCTCGTCTTGTTCTCTTTTGGATTCACACATCATCCTTTCCCACCCTCTCCCGCTGCTTTGCCGTCGTCATTGCCGAACGATCGTTTTTCAGTCCGGGACATTTTTCTTGCCCGCACCCTGTCTCTATTTTTCTTTTCATCAGGGTTTCTTCGTCGCAACTTTCCCTTTTTCGTGCTTGTTGTTGGACCCACGACCCTGCCATGCACCTACACTTTCCCCACCCCCGACATGACACCCGTTACTGCGTCGTACCGGACGTCTCGCGATCGTTTTGTGAGCAGGTTAACGCCGACCGCACACAGATCGACTTCGTGACGCAATAAGTTCTCCAGCAGCAGGGTCACATGGCGAAGGGACAGGCAGCAAGAATCATGCGGCGGAAACCAAGCCTCCGTAGATGCGGTGTAGATTGATGCGGACTCCTGAGAGCAACGAGGCTTCCAACCGTTGTTTTTGAACCTTGCTGGTTCTCTGCAGCGGTCACAATGTGCAATGTGCAATCGATCCAGATCATCATGTGCTTTGTTCTGTTTCGCCCGGAGAGCAGTTGCGGGCCCGAGACCAGCAGAGTCCCGTGATCGACAATCGTGCCGGCAAGGACTCACAAAAAATGGCGCTGATCAGTATATTATTTACGCAGGTGATATGGCGTCTCTCCGACGTGCACAGCAACCAAGCATGTATGTGCCCTGCTGCTGCTGCTGCTGCTGCTGTCCAAAGAAACTTGCACCCAAGGACCCTACTGCTGTAATTTACGACAACGAAAGCAACACAGCTTGTAGCTTGCCGTGGGCGGGTTACGCAGTAAAGCCGAATATTTGGGGCGGAGGAGCGGGGGGCGACGTTAAGGGCAACCTCCAATAATTTAATAGTGTGTCCGTGGTGGCCCCCTTAGAGGACCGGTTGCGAAGTTCGAGAGCAAACGAGATCTTTCGTGCCCGGGTTTCAATTGCTTTATGCGGGCTCGCTGTATAGGGGAATTTCGGAATCGCCCGAAAGAGGGGATGAGCCCAAAGATCCCCCCCCCCGGTAAAAAGGCTTCGATCGAGCTACGAGAGGGGGAGGTGTCAATAGTTTGTTTTTTGGTGTAGAAAAAAAACAGAACCTGCAGTAGGCTCGTGTGTTGTTGTTGGATACAGAGAGGGGGGGTGGTGTTCATCATCATCATGAACAGGGCCCGCACTTCATAAATAGATGGGGCCCGCACTTCAAATACATGCGGCCCGCACACTCCTCATGGAAACGCCGCCCACATTATATGCCCATGAAGATTCAAAATGCGGGCCGCAGGAAGGAAGTGATCCGAAAACGTTGTGAACCGAGACAAGCATGCACATATGTGTGGCAGCATCGAAATTTGTGGACAAACGTCCCCGTGTTACGGTGGATTGTAACGTCACCTGGCGAGGGCGCTAGTCGGGACAAACTCGAAGTTGATGGGCGTGGCGACCTCTGTATTCAGAGGCGCATCGTGCAAAAAAGCTCAACGCTCGAACATACGTGCAAATATGGAATGAAACACCACCGAAAATTCGCCTGGCGCTGCCTGCAGCCAAGTGCCGCCGCTCGCTGCACAAGAAGCTCGTGTGGCTGACGATGCAAGTGCTCATGTACGTACCGCATATGACACAAGATAACACACTCCCTGGACCAATTTTCAAAGCTCGATTATTCAAAAGCAGCACCAGTGCACGGCCGAAAACGGCGACGTTGAAGCCGTCTGGTTAAGAACTCTTTGAAAACGTACTCTTTCGTCCATGCGTCCTCTTCGTCGTGGAGTAATCGGGGTTTGAACATCGGTCGAGGAAGTGTGTTATGTTGTGTCATATACGGTAAAATGCTGTAGTAGGCAAAAAGAGTGAGAGCATTCCTCTTTCCGACGACACGACCGCAGCCTGCTGCACCTGCTGGTGGTCGTCGATTGGTCGCCTTTGAATGAATCACAATAAGAGTCCCATGCATCTCTATCTTTTCGTTTGCGTGAAAACATTTATGTTATTTTGTTATTTTGTTGCATACAAGTGCTGTTAGGATGGACGGAGGAGGGTGGCGGCTCGTACTACCACGCGGCCGGAGGAAGCCAACAACGGCAGAGACGGTGCGATCCACTTTTTATCCCGGTCGGCTTGCCATTCAGTAAACCAAGAAACGAATGACATTTTTTTATTTTTTTGCCTTCCGACAATTGCAGATGTACCTCAGAAAACTTTCACGTAATGTCTCATACCCTACATTAATATTAAACCAATACGAAGTACAACAACATATGTAGGACTTATTTCTACTGTCACTTACATCGTAAAAATATCTCCTCTTCAATTTGAAATAAAACCAATGACAATCCTCATGGTATCCTACGAGTGAATATTGTTTTGTTTTTTTTCGAGTGACTATTGTCTTTTTTTTGGACGCAATCGTGAAAGAGCGTTGCACGACTGTGTTGCAGAAACATGCCAGCATGCCAACCCTTGTACAGCGGTGTTGCAGGAACACGAAACCCACCCTTTCCCATAGACAGATTACCAATCCCAACCACTTGAAAATGCCTTTTTCTCGATGCTCAGGTTGATGATAACCATGCCACTCACTGCTTTCGAGACCCCAGAGGTTATGGCGGACGGAAAGGCGTTGGAGATGCTGTCTCAACTTCGCCGTAACTTGCGAGACATTTTGATGCAACGGCGGGCAGTTGATGAAGGTCGTGCCAAAAGTGCTCAGGCTAAACTCACGGCGTTGACTGAAGAATGCACATTGCACCTCGTGCTTGGCGTCAAGCCGGGGTGCGTGCTTCCGGCGCAGCCAAAGAAAGTATATGTTGAGTGCATTGCACCCGTCCGTGTAGGATGTTTTGGTATCGTCTGATGTCGAGCAGTCAGCGTACTGCTGCAAGCCGCACTCATACTTACTACACCACGGGGCTTCTGTCTTCTCGAATTTAAAGTCCTTTGTGCATATAACATTGCACAGGTCCGTTCTGTAGGGTACTCACAGATCGGTACCGGCGGTATTTTCCCTCTGTAAGTACCGACAGATCACTACAAAGAAGATCTGTCAGACCCCAGTACCCTACAGAGATTTCACAGATAGTTCGGTACTCTCCCCAGTATCTACCGAGATTTTACAGACTGTTCGGTACTCTCCCAGTACCCTACAGATATTTCACAGAACATTCGGTACTCGCCCAGTACCCTACAGAGATTTCACAGAACGTTCTGTATTCTCCCAGTACCCTACCGAAAAGTTCTGTGAGGCCCCAGTACATACAGAGATTTTACAGAGGAGTTCTGTGAGACCCCAGCACATACAGAGATTTTACAGAGGAGTTCTGTGAGACCCCAGTACATACAGAGATTCTACAGAAAGTTCGGTACTCTCCCAGTACCCTACCGACAAACAGTTCTGTAACTCTCCCAGTACCCTACTGAAAAGTTCTGTACAGTAGTTGTTGTTGTTGTTGTTGTTGTTTCTCACATTAGCTCTAAAAAAAAAAAAAAGATTGGGAGCCCGTGGTCTCAAAACCCGGCATACACGACCCCACGAAGAAACAGAAAAAAATAGGGTACAAAAACCACTCGGAAGAGAAACAAAATGATAGAAAGAAAGACCAGCTACCGCACCAAACGAGAAAGAGCGTCGAGGAGACCGATCAAAATAAAATAAAAGGAGAACGGGGAACGCTTCCCAC